GTAAGATTTTGGTAGAGACATCAAGTGAGATGAATTAGATGGCTGCTCAGATGACTCTTAGGAGCTCCTGAATTTCTGATTTCCTCTATATTAGAAAGAAGGAGGGAGGAAAAAGACATTTTTGAGCTGGGAACTGGATCTTTTTCTGTACAAAATGTGGAAGGCAAGTATCAAACAAAATGATTTTTACCGCTTTCCTTGCTGAGATGATTGCTGTGTTATCTAGACTTGCAGATGTTGAATGTGAGAAACAATTGTTTATGTCCACCCCTTCATTAAGGAGATTTGAAAGGTGAATTAATTACTACGAAATAAGAGAAGCTGTGGATGCCTCATCACTAGAGGTGTTCAAGGCAACTTGATGAGGTCTGGGCAACCAAAGTGTGGGAGGCAACCCTGCCCATGGTGAGGGTTTGCAAGTAGATGAAAGTTGAGGTCCCTTCCAACCCAAGCCATTCTGTGAAGTAAAAATCAGTTGTATAAACTAATGTAGAGATCTTCATGCTGGAATGAAGATATAAAGCTGGTCTCAGAACATTTGATTTGGGTTCGATTTACATGAAAAATTAGTTTGTGCTCATGTAGAAATATGGCAGTCTAAAATACCTTCATGCTTCTGCCCTTTGCTTTAACTACTTACCCAGTAGCCCCTCTGTTAACAATCAAGGTTGATTAATGTAGTTTTTAATTCAAAGACTGGATTAGCTTAGTCAACATTTGTTTCAACATCATCTTTCAAAGCAAATTCTAGCTTGCTGCGTTCTTCATTGTAAAATTAGTGCCTTTTCACTACTGAAAATGGTTTTAGAACTACCTTTCTTTTTCAGTTAGGATTGAAAACAACTCCTGACCATAAGTAACAAGCTGTTCATTAATTCTTCTTTGAAATGTTTATAATTTCTCTTAAACACTGGCTGCCAAATAGGATTCATCGTGTAACAACTGTAAGCAGAATGGTTTTGTGAAGTCTCATTTTTGCAGTGTAGGCTACAGAATGTGCTCTGTGGTCACTGTTACAAACTCAAGGCGGTGAGCAAAGGCAAACACGTGGATAGAGAAGGTGAAGCTTGTTGGCCTGCAGATGAAAGGCAGTAATACTACAGTTGGCATGGAGAATATCTCATAGCCTCTGATCTTTTGTACTGCGAATAGCAGCAATTTAACCATATTGTAGAACTAAGGGCAATAAAATAGACCTCATGAGTTTGCAGCTTAAAGCTTCTTATTTCTTAGCCTTTGTACATGTGTATGTATGGGTGACACCACCTCCATGTATGTGGTATACCTACTTTACAGATATTTAGGAAAGTTACTAAATACCTGTTTTCTTATTTAAAAATAGTGTGCTTCATCTTTCTTGGAATTTGGTTCCTGGTACTGAAATGTTCACATGCTATTTTTGTGTAAATTTAAGAGTTTGATATCTTTGAACATTTTCTAAACTGTTTTTCTTTTGAACTACCATCGTCTATCATCCTAGCTAACTAGTTCAGCATGTTAATGTCTGCCTTTAAAGACAGATAGCTACTCTGATTACATGCAGCTTGTTAAAATAGCTTTGAGACAAATTGGCATTCTGTAGAAGTCAAACCAAAAGAGGGGTTTTTAAAATATGATTCTTCAGATATGATTTGGATGGCAATGGTGTGAGTAAGCTACCGTGGAGGATTTTGCCTTTGGCTGTTTGCTACATGTGCAGGCGTGCAGCTTGCTCCTGCCTCCCAATGGAAGTGCCTCCTCCCTGGGTATCCTGCAGTTCCCCAAGATCCCTGCCCCATCACTGTGCCCAGTGACTGCAGTAGCTTCTTCCTCAGCCAGCAGCCTGTGCACAGAGCCAGCCCACCCTGTCCTGCACGGCCCACACACAGCTGGGTTTAATGGGCTGCCTCTTCAACATCAGACACTGAAGGAATTTCCATTGGAAAGCCTTCACGTTTTAAACTTCGGATCCTATAATTCAGTTGAAGTCTCAGCAGACTGTGGGTGACCAGGTTGGGCCTGGTGACCAGTGAGCCCTGGAGCAACCCTCCTCTGCCTCTGGAAACTCCTTACCTCAGAATAGGAGCTGCTGCTGGTACTTTTGTGGAGGATTGGTTTTTAACCCCTGCTATAAAGATAACAGTGGGATAGCTGAGTAATATTGCAGCATGAGTAGCCAGTAAAGTCTTGGTTTAAATTTAGAGGTTGCTGTTTTTTTCACTTCAGCTGAGTGTAGAATTGAATCACGTTTATTTTGCTGTGGCCTCTGATTTGCAGCATTATCATAGCAAGGCGTTTCCCAGAAGCTTCTTTCTGACTTCCAATAAAAAGTAAAAATATTCTGTGGCTTGCAGCAGAGACGTGGAGTCTTGCCAGCAGGGTCTGCAGCTAAGTTCCCTTAGCTCAAGTCTGGCTTCCCAGCAGTTCTGCATTCAGGTCAAGCTGAGGGAGAGAATCATCAATAAGGGAGGCTGCAGAATTTATTTTCCTCGTTTTCTTTAATTAAACAACTGTTACCTTTCAGGTAATAGCTGTAATTTCCATTCCAGAAAGACTTGGTGTCAGTACTGAGGTCCTTCTTTTGACTGAGGCAGCAAGACATGTAATTGCTATTAGAACTTAGTGCAATGACCTGTCCTGCATAAAGCAGACCTGGCATGGCAGATTTAAGTTTTACGCGGCAAATGAATTCCTTAATTTTGCTCAGAGAGTGCTTTAAGTTTGTCACGTGGAGATGGGAAAGTGACTGCAGTCTTCTTCATTGGAAAATGGGGGTGTTTCTCCTGTTTTCTCTCTTGTTCTGCTTTATTTTTGCTTAAATGTTAAATGCGGTGTTCAGTAGCCATCGGTCTGTCTTATTGGAAACCCAAATAAAGAAAGCTGAAGAAAGCATTAATTCTTCATTAATTATTTACTTAAGCTGGTCTTGTAAGCAAGAATGGAAGCCTCAGCCCAGCTTGTCTCCCTCAAAATTATTAATTTATGTTCTTTTAAATTGGAAATAAATCCATTTTAGAGTAACCTAAGAGGGTCACACAGTGTAAAACAGATTGTGCAGGTTTGCTCCTAGCTAGCGTAAATAAAAAGAAAATACTAATTTTCTTTTAGATAAAACTTCTTTTCATCAGTTTATATGCAAGCATTCACTAAGGTACTTAAGACCTATGAACAGTAGAGTGTAACCTGGTCTGGATCTGCCACTGTACTTTAGGGCTGAAGAATTTTGAGCTGATCAGCACTTCTAATTTCTAGCTCAGGGGTTTTGGACCCAAAGCAGTTCACAATTTTAATACTCATTTTGGACTTCAGTCAGAAACAAATCAACTGCTTGTTAAAGGTATTGCATTTCTTCAATTCTCTCTTCTGCCCACACTGATGCCTATAAAGGGTCAACTTTGCCTTGTGTGTATTGCATATTGCAGAGGAAGAAGCTTGCAAGGGAACAAGTCAGTTACTCAAATCTTGACCTACAGTTCCAATTTGAGGCCAGTCTGACGAGCGACACAATTAGCTTCACTAAAGAGATCAGTCTGGAAATAGCAACTAGCAGTATTTGTGTTCGTTTAAATGGCTGTAAAAGCAGAACGTGAAGTTGTGTTATTTTACCAGTCTTAAAAATATTTTTTTATAACCAATAAAGAGCAAAAGCTTATCTTTCAAATTAATACCAGAAAATCTTCATGCTGGCATGCAGAATGTTACATTGTCCTCTGCCTGAGTCTGTGAGGGTTCATATAATAAATAGATAATACAATAAATAGAGTTCACTCTGCACCATGGTGGCATTTGCCCAAATCCTCAATCCTGTTCCTCTTTTGAGCAACTTCAAAAATCTGCTTTCATACCTTTTCTTCAGTTGGCATCAGGCCCATCTCACGCTGTCTGGGTCAGAAGTGGAATTTTCCTCATCTTTTACTTTGCTAGCCTTTGCTTCTGATTACATCTCTTTTGGATTTTGGTATTTGGACATTCTTTTCCTTATTGCATAAACTGTGCATTTCCATGGAAACAAGCTAATTGTTCCTAGTCTGGTATGGAAGAACAATATCTTCTATTCCAGAAATGGAATTGTATTGCAGCCTTATTAGATGAGGTTCACTCAAGGCAAGGCGCTTAGTGAGGTCATATTTAGATGGACTGCTAATTAATATACTGGGTGGCATTGCCAGCTGAATTCTGATTATTTCCCTGGGAAATAATTGAAGTAGGCTACCAGAGGAGGTATTCAAAACTTGGCATTTGAGTAAAGGAGTGCAGAGGAATTTTCTTTGAAGAGAAGAAAAAATAAATAAATAAAGGAAAATAGCAACTACCGTGTTAGTTTGGCTGAGCTTGCAGCAGAAATGATTGCTTATCTATTTATCTGTTCTTCATGTCTTCATGCTGTTACTCCTTTTGACACAAATTGGTTTTTATTATTAATGCAGAGTTAATAGCAGCATTTCTTCACCAAGGCATTTGTAAAGGACAGAGCTCAGAGCTGGGATAGCTGATAATTTACCAGTACCTGGAATTTAGTCTCCCTGACTATATTGCATGTGCCTTGGTCATTTCTGTCTACTCATAATATGTCTAATTTGTATGCAGAGAGTTGTTGCTTCCAGAATTGTTGGGAGCAGAAACAAAGTTGGTCTCTTTTATGTACTTTCCCATTGCTAGGTATGTGCTGTAGCAAAATTGTAGTATAGATGTTTGCATGCAGAGTCAGGCAACCGTGTTCATTTACTTTCACAAAATATGGCTTCAAGTTCCTTTCCTTTCTTTCTCTTTGCCTGAAGTGTGAAGGAAAATTTTCCTTGTCTTCCCCTGTCCATGGTGGCCTCAGTGGAAAGAGGTAGTAGATGTGAATGGCTTAGGCTACTGCTTAATGAAAAGGCTGTATTTTCAGAAGTGGTTATATTTTTTTGGTGAGTGTGAAATGTGTTCAGATAAATATGCGTTTTGATGAAAAATGAATGAAATGTTTATGTATAGGAGAAAGGCTTTTTCTGTAGGTTTAAATTATGTTTTTTGTTTGACAGTGGCCCATCCTCAAGAGCCCCATCACCCAACTGAAAAGCCAGTCATCCACTGCCATAAGTGTGGAGAGCCATGTAAAGGTGAAGTACTCCGTGTTCAGTCCAGACACTTCCACATCAAATGCTTCACCTGCAAAGGTAAGACCTGGACGTTCATCTGTTAGAAATGAGTCAATTTCTGAATATGAAATTTAAACCAGTTTTGAGAGGTAAAGCTTCCTGCAGTCTCTAAAGTAGCGGATATTCCTCTTGCTTAGTATGAGAATACATTGTTTAGTGGGGAAGGTAAAGAATGAATGGTGGATGGGCTGAATCACGGATGTACCAGCAGCAAGATGGTCAACACCACACGTAACAAAAATTCAGTGTGCAAACATCTACAGTTTAATTTAGAAGAAAAGTTATCTTGGACGTTTGATTCGTTGGAGGAGTAGGGATAAATTCATCACTACTAGAAGACTCAAAATAGCATGTCCTGCTTGGAATACTCATATGTTTCTGTAATTATGTACTGTTCTTTTTCCAGCCTCCCACTTCCTCTTGCCATCTACTTTTTTCCATCCTGCCACTCCCTGTCAACCTCCACTTCTTTCCTTTCTTCACACGCACTTTTGGCATCAAGCTACCTTTCAGCCTCCAACATTTCTGTCCCCCGTCTCTCATCCAGAGTCTCCAAAACCCAGTTCATCTTCACCTGTGATTTTTCCCTGACCTCCCACTCCCTCTTAGCCTCCACTTTTCTTAGAATCTTACAGTAACTTTGAGCCACTCCTGGAGTTGTTGGGGTTTTTTTCCTGCTCTCCCAGTATCTGTTATTCTCTGCTTTCCCACTGTCTCCCAGTCACTTTTGGCCTCCACTAGTCTTCCTCTACCACTAGGCCTCCAGTTCTTTTTATAGCCTCCACTTGTTTGGTCTCCAACTACCACTAAGTCTCCCACCAACTTCTCATTCATTCCATTCCTTATTATTTGGGCTTGGCAGTAAGTAAGTGCTGTCTTTTTCAGTGTTCGTATGTCTTCCATTTAGACTAAGAAAAGGATTGTGTCAAGGAGTTAGCTTCAAGTCCTGTTTTGAAGCTTTTACCTGAGTTTCACAGCTTGTTTTTTGTCATCCTTTCATATGTAAGTGGATGTACTTTTTGTTTAAACAGCGTAGTTATTTACTCATATTGCATATTGTCTGTCCATATGGTTCATACAAGTGGGACACGGCTGCTAAACTAAGCATTTTCTCCTTAGTTTAATGAGCTTTTAATTTGATGTGACTGCTTCTCTACGGGTGGTTAAGTTAGACCCCCTCAGTTTAAACATTATGTTGTTAGCTGAAGAAAATAATACCAGATACTGAGAGCAGTCTGCCTCTACAACTGGTTTATTTGTCCTTCTCCTTTCTGTATAGTTGTTTGTTCTTGAGATTTCAAGTCAGACATCTACAGTGCAATAGCCTTGAATGAACTTGTATGTGTCTGACTGCTGTTACACCTGCTGAAAATGTTTAACCTCTTACCTCTAGACTTAATCTGGTAGTGTAGTGAAGATGAGGACTTTCTCATAAAGCTGTTGCACAGGTTGTAAAGTGGTGTGGTTTCAGTGTTACCATTTATTTTTAGTCTGCTGTGTATGGGATTCATTTTTTCTCGTTGCTGTCAATGCTCACAACTTCATTTACACGATGGTATTAAGCACCTTTGATGTGATCATAGTTGAACTTCCTAGGTTATGTCAGAGGTTTGCTGAGACCACTTGGCATGCATATGCCAGCAGTGGTTGCAGCACTGTAGGAATGGGGACTTAAACCTCCATGCTGCCTCGGCCAGCTCAGGATGTGATCATGTGTCATGTAATGTCATCAAGCTCTGTAGTTTGGTGCTGTGTCCATCTGTCTCAGAACAGAGTAAAACTGCTTCCTGATGAAGACAGCAAGGAAAACCTCAACCCATCAATGTGTTTCCACACCCCCGAGATAAGATGCAGCTAGCTGTTATTCCATGCCATTGAAAACCAGATGCCTACTGCTGTTTTGTCCTATCTGCCCAGCTAGATTCTATTTGCGGGTCCAGATAAGAGCTGTTGAAAGAACAGAGCTGAAAGTGGTGTGACTTGTGCCCTAGAAAGCAAGCTCTCTGGGACCTCTGATAGGCAAGGAATCTCAAGCAGCCAGCAGCTGACTTGGAGCTAGAGCAAGCAAGGGAATGATGGGCACGGGATGAGTGAGAGATGTTTAGGAGTGCAGTTCTAGGAGTGCCATGCAGAGCAGATTGTATTTTGCTGTTTTATAACAAAGTCACTCATCTTGATAAAGAACTGCTGTTCTGCGTTAGAAATGCAAATTTAGTTGGATTCTGTTTTGTCTCATTATTCATTAATCTCCGGTAGTTTAAAAAAAAAAAAAAGGTTTTATTATCTATTAATCAGGAGTACGCTGCCCTTAAACCAAATTGTTAATGGTTACCTGGCAGTGGAAGCAACAGGTGAAGAAGAAGGAGGCCTAGATGGAAAGGCTGGAGGGAGATGAGACTGAGCTGTAGACCTCCTTGATTTATTTTTTGTCTTTAACTGTTAGCAGTGTTAAGAATGAATTAGTGGCTTATAATGTAGTAGACTTTGAGGCACATGAATATCTTCTCTGGGAAATTTGGGACTATCTACTCCGCTGTCTTCTATAGGTAAATGTGCCTGGGATTGGGCTGTGAATTCCGATATGCACTAGCAGAGATTATAATATCAGTTTAAAATGTGATGTGAATGATATTTTTTATCATTGTCAGTTAATTACAGTTCATTTTACCCTATTGCAAGTACTAGGAGTGGAAATTTTGAGGCTAGCAAAATTGGTATCCTAAGACTTAATAATAAACCTGTGATTCATCTTTTGGATTAGAGGGAAATTCTAGTTTCAATACAGCCAACTGCTTAGTAGAACAAGCTTTAAGCTTTGTTCATAACAAGGTAAACGTTTACAGTGCTTGATTTTGGTGCATGTAGAAATACATTGCATTATCTTGACAACAATATAATGTTAGGAACGTTTCAAATAGTGGGCACTGTCCCTGTTCTTGATGTTGCATGTAAATTGGAAAACACAGCAGCCGTGTAGTCGAATCCAAACAAATAAACCCAACCACCTTTGTAAATGAGCAGTCCTGATTTGGGAATATGGGTGGTGTCCTAAAGTTTTCTGGACCCCACAAAGTGACATAAATGTCTATAATTTGATTAGGCTATGCCAAAAAGAAATATTTCACTTTATATGGATATTTTACACACAATAACAGTATCAGAGCAATTACCAGCTAATTATGAGACAGAGCTGAGTTTTGGCATTCATGAAGCATTCCCCAAAGCCAGGTCTCCGATGCAAAGCAACTTGTAGCTTTTCTTAGAGCATTGTTATAAATTAGCATGAAGTAGTTTCTTAGTTACAAAACAAATGTGCCATCTGTCCTCTAAGTTAGATGTCTTTCAAGATTATTTAGGAAAAATCTACATCAGTATGTACTTTCAGTGTCCTTTGAGCTGTTTCAATTCTAGACACATCTGTTTTGTCTGTGTGATGATTTTGCAAGGCTACATTATTTGTAGTTGAAAGAAATTAACAGGAAAGGAGGAGGGTTTCTGAGTTTGCACGTAGGGATGCTCTTACGTAGGGTAATCTTTGACTTTGAACTGGATGTTCCTCCCTTGAAGGATTGGGAAGAAGCTAGGGTCATGTAAGCAGACAGTATATCAGCAAGTTGGAATGTGTTCTAAATCATTAGTTCTTTGACCTTTGATCTGTTGTCAGATTCCTTGTGTGGCAGCAGGAGGAGGCTGACTGCTGGGTTGTTAGTGCCATTAATAGGTCAGCATCAGTGCATGGCAAGTTTAAATACGAGGGTGCTCTTGTAGTGGATCTCCAGCGCACTGTGCGAAAAAATATCTGCGTTTCCACAAGCACTTATCAAATATGGTACCGATCTGTGGGCAAGCTAATGCGACTGGTCGATAGGAAGCATTCCTTCCTGAATATCAGGAAATTGCACAAGGTGCCTTGAAGCTCCAAATCACTGAACCAAAAAGCTTTCCTTATATAAAACCTCCACTGGCTCAGAATTCTCTTGCAGTACATTACAGTTCTGCTTGCCCGTTTGGGAACTCCGTTCTTCAGCTTAGTTATTAAAGCAGCCTTTAAAGTTATTAAGCTTTCTTGATTGTTTTGGGGTTTTTTTGTGTGTGTGTGTTTTTGTTTTTTTTCTAAAAACTGAGTCTCTACCTTTTAGACAAAGGGCATTTCTGAACATTAGAACAGAAAAGATGGGTAAATATGAGCTTGAAATGCTCTTGCAGCAAATACAGGTAGAACAGAAATGTTACTACATCTGATTTTGGATGGTCATAAGTTTAGGAATCTGACCCATGATACTGAATTGCTATTCTGCATCCTATTCACAGTATAAAGTTCCACGTAAGAGAATGAGGAGCACTGATCTGAGTTTTCTTGGACTTGAGGTCCCTTTCAGTGACCAAACATCTGACAAGAAATGAAGTTAATTACGCAGCTTGGCTGATATTGATGAGTGCTGACAGATGCCATGTCAGATTTTAATAAGCAACCAGATCCCTTTGAAAATGGAAGGCTAGCAGGATGCTTTACAGGTGCTTGGTGAGTAGGGCAGAGCTTCCTTCTGAGAATATGAGGGGCTCTCCTGAGAATATGGAAAGCTACTTGGCTTTGTTGTCAGTGTATCTTTCATAGAATATTTCAAGTTGTAAGAGACCCACATGTATCATGGAATTTGTTTGCCTGGCTTGTTGTATCGTAGGTAGTTAGGTAGACTTTCTTTTGTATTTTTACATCTTTGTTTTGCTTATCTTTTGAGAAATCTCTCATCTAAGTAGGTAGAGCCAGGCAATCCAAGGCTAAACTTTGACATTTTCCCACTGACTGCATTTTCTTCAAGGTTCATTTCCTGCAGACCCAGAAACGACTTTGATCTCTACCTTGTGCTTAGTTTAATCTGAAAGGTGTTTAAAATGGTTGAATGATTCTTGCCATTGTTTCCATCCTGGTGCACAAAATATTGATGCCTTAGTTGGGAAGCTGTCGCACTGCTACATTATACATGGTGGCTGTTTACTTGCTGCTGAGGTTAGATGCC